CTCCGTGGCATCCCAACCATTACTCCATTCACACACAGAAGAAGGCAATGGCAAACCACTTCTGGATCATCTGCCAAGAACGTATATGAACAGGTCCCAGTCCGAGAAAAGGATGGAAGGATCCTGTTCATATGGACCTGTCCTCAGACAGAACACTAAATAATAATAATATTAAAAGAAAGTCTCAGCCTCACGACAATCTTATTCTAAGCATGCTTCACGTAATGATAATATGTTACTAGATACAAGTCGAAGTTGGTGTAGTGAAGCATTCGTGCTTAATATTTGCTCAAAGTTTTTGCAAAAAGTTAGGCTGTTCATACACGCTTTCTCTCTTAGAGATCCCCACGAAAAAAAGGTAAAATCGGGTGGGCGAGGAGACCACTGTCTTGGACGTATAACTCGTTTGCCGAAAACTTTATCTACTGAAATCATAGAATTGTTCGCAGTATCTGAAAAGACACGGGCTAAATTTTTTTTTGGTAATTGCAAGCGAATCGCCACTTTTTAACTCTTGCAACAACACTTCTTACCCAGCCTCGTCAGAATATGACGTGTATCCGGTGTCGAAAGGTCGTTCGAATACCGATTAGTGAAACCGCGGGCGTCTAAGAAGTAGTGAGCCGGTGGGGGGTGAACAATTTTCTAGACGCCCGGTATTTCCACAAATTGGATTCCCTGTAGCTTGGAAGCTGAGATTAAGCGAACCCATAGCTTCCACGGCCGACCAAGAGTCGTGTCTGGAGGCGGGGAAATCAGCTGCTCTGAGGTTGGCATGTTTTACAACAGGCTAGTGGCCGGGGGACTAGTTAAATTGGCGAATACTGGGGTGGATAACTTGGCATCGCTTCCCCCTAAAAAGGGGCCCCACAGGAGAACAAATAAGGTGGGGGGGGACCGAAAATGCTCAGATGAAAGGAGAGATGTGGACGTTGGAGCCCGACACTGCCGACAGCTTCCGGGTCCTGGTGCCCTTCGCGTCCTCGATGTCGGCGAGGGTGTGAGTTTTAACTTTTTCTCTCTCCGATAAGATGGACTTTTTTTTTTTTGTAAAAAATTTGCAAGCGCATATCTGAAGCCGAGATTCGGGAGGAGCTTGAGGGAGACCTTGGACATCAATGTCCTGGCTGTGACGCAATTCCAGCTGAAGAACTCCGAAATGGACCGTCTTCTGACACAACACTTCATTGTATCCGTGGCCCGAGACTCTGATGTCATGAAGGTGATGTCTCTCATCTGTATCTGCGGTCTGCGAGTAATGTTGGAGGTGTCCCAAAAGGGGCGCTGCGCTGTGATTTGGGAACATCCAGCTAACTACGGCTGTGCACCAAGATATTTGGCTTTCGGGGGCGCGAACCTATCAGCGAAAAATGTCGCTACAAGACACCTGAGACCCCTCCCGAAAACGAGAACTGGGACCTGGTTGGAAACACGTTTTTCGAAGTGGCCAAGGCTTGGATTAAAACCTACGCGTAGTTCATCCGACACAGAAAGAGGCTAAACTAGTGGACGGTCAATGCCAGTTCGCTTGTTCTGAGGTGTCGATGGTAGATTCCCAACTATTCCGTTCAAAAAGCCTGAACAGCCACTATAAAAGTGGTAACTGAAGTGTTTGATGAAACGTTGGTTAACACCAAATATTCGACGCGTCTCTGACCCCCGGAAGTCGAAGTTTTACATTGAACGCCACCCGCGACGAACCTACGATGAAGAACGAAGCTTAACCCTTTGAAGCCGAAGATCGTCTGAATATTATTTATGAATTCAGTCCGTCCCGCGAAGAAAACCCTACACCTGACCATTACGAAAATCAGCTGGTTAACCCTCTGAAGCCGAAGATCGTCTGAATATTATTTATGAATTCAGTCCGTCCCGCGAAGAAAACCCTACACCTGACCATTACGAAAATCAGCTGGTTAACCCTTTGAAGCCGAAGCTCGTCTTCATAATATTTACGAATTCAGTCCGTACCGCGAAGAAAACACTACACCTGACCATTACGAAAATCAGCTGGTTAACCCTTTGAAGCCGAAGCTCGTCTTCATAATATTGACGAATCCAGACCGTACCGCGAAGAAAACACTTCACTTAACCATTAGAAGTCGAATCAGGCGGTACCACATAAGATTTAACAAAAGAACATCCCGGTCAAAGCCTTAAACA